CAGCCTAATGTGCCAGACAAATTTACCAGACTAGCGGTACCAGACTCATGTACCAGACTAGCGGTACCAGACTCATGTACCAGACCAGGCATCAGCATAGGCACGTGTGCCCTTGTCTTCCCAGTTTGGTGCCTCGTTTTGCCGCGAGGTCGGCATCCTGGCCAGATGCCTCGTTCGCGCAGTTTGCGTGGCCCCTGCGGCATGCGGTATGCGTGTGTTTCTGTTGGCGTCGGCGGCGCTCCCAAGGGGGGAAGCGAACCAGGGGGCAGGCCTTCTGCTGAGGCGCGTGGCTTCTCAGGAGCCTCCTGACCTTCTGCTGAGTGTTCCGTGCCTGCGGGGAGAGTTTTTGCTCGAGAATCTGCCAGGAGGCCCGAGGCTCTCCGAGCTCTGCGTCGCCCAGCGCGCTCCACCACTCGCAGAGGGCCCGCTCGCAGGCACCCGAGACGCACACGTGCTCGCATCGTCGTGGCAGCGGCTCGTAGAGCCCCCCCCCCGCGGCGGCTCCAGGCCACGTGCGAGCAGCTGCCCTGCGCGCAGTGGAGCGCGCCTGTCTTCTCTTCGGGTGTTGCTCGAAGTGCCCCTGGCCCAAGGCACCCCCAGTTTTCCGCTCCATTCTGGAGCCCCTGGGGCCCTCTGGGCCTCATGAGGGGTGCCCTGGAGGCCGTTCGGGCCACCCCGAGAATCCTAGGGGGTTACTTTGGGCCAGGGGCACTTCTAGCAACACCCGATCTCTGAGAGGGCCCGCCCCTTCTCGCTTTCCCCCCCGGGGGCTCGCCGACGGCGGTCGGCCTGCCAGGGGGGTGGTGCGCCAGCCACGGCGCCTCGCCGCCGTCCCCCCACCTGCTGCCGCCGCTGCGGGGAGCAGCGACCGCCTGGAGCGCGCAGCCCTGCCTCTTATGCAGAAGAAGCAGCGTCGGGGGTGGACAGACCTCCTACCCTGACACGTCGATTAGCGAATTGTTGACGCTTCGCGAATCCCCACCAGCCCATCCTACACCAGGCATTCGAACGAAGAGCGCCGATGATCGGCAGCTGTTCTCCTCCCCTTCTTCCTCCTTCTCCTCCGCCTTCTCGTCCTCCTCTCCTCCTCCTCCCTCTCCTTCTCCTCCTCCTCATCTTCCTCCTCCTCCTCCTCTCTCCTCACCAAACAAAAACAAACCACACAAACCCACCTCTCACCATGGCGTGCCAAATTCTATAACAATTAAAACAGGGGGGGTCATCTCCTCCTCCTCCTCCTCCTCCTCCTCCTCCTCCTCCGCCTCTTCCTCCTCCCTGGTGGGTCTTGGAGGTATCTTCGAACGTTTTGGTTGGCTTTTGGGCCTTGCGGGCGAGCGGGCGGCGCTCCGCCAGCCTTCGCGCAGGGCCCAAGAGGGGCTCCAAGACGTCTCTTGGAGCCATCTTGGAGGAGATTGATCAACGAGGGGGGGTCCCTCAATTAGGGTTCCCCCCTCAGGAGCCATGATCCTCGTGAGGGGTGTCGAATTTTAGCCCTCCCAGGGGTCGATCTTGGACGCTTTAACGCGACGCGGCCTCCCCTGTCCATGTCAGTGGGGAGGGGGTAGGGGGAGGGGTAAACCCCTCCCCGCAGGGGAAGAAGGAGGGGTGGAAGAGGAAACCTTCTAAACCACCGACGCCTAGAGGGCTAGTGGGATTTCTTGGTTCCCCCAGTGGTTCTCTGTGGTTCTCAGTCCACTAGTGGCTGGGTTCTGCAGGGTTCTCTTGGGGGTTCTTTTTTTTCGATGTATAGACTTGTGGAAATATTCCGAAATTGAAAATTATGTGTTCCTTTGAATATCTGGGTTGTTCCAGGGGTTCTCTGTGGTTCTCAGTGCACTCAGTGGCTGGGTTCTGCATTCTCTTGGGCGTTCTCTTTTTCGATGTATAGAAGGGGGAACTGCTGTCGAATTTGAAAAGTATGTTTTTCTTTGAATTTCTGGATTCTCCCGGGGGTTCTCTGTGGTTCTCAGTGCACTCAGTGGCTGGGTTCTGCCGGGTTCTTTTGGGGGTTTTCTTTATTTCATCTATAGAAGGGGGAAATGCTGTCGAAATTGAAAATTATGTTATTCTTTGAATTTCTGGGTTCTCCTGGGGGTTCTCTGTGGTTCTCAGTGCACTCAGTGGCTGGGTTCTGCAGGGTTCTCTTGGGGGTTCTCTCTTTTCGATGTATAGAAGGGGAAAATGCGGTCGAATTTCAAAATTAAGTTTTTCTTTGAATTTCTGGATTCTCCCGGGGGTTCTCTGTGGTTCTCAGTGCACTCAGTGGCTGGGTTCTGCAGGGTTCTCTTGGGGGTTATCTTTTTTCCATGTATAGAAGGGGGGGGGGAAATGCTGTCGAAATTGAAAATTATGTTTTTCTTTGAATTTCTGGGTTCTCCTGGGGGTTCTCTGTGGTTCTCAGTGCACTCAGTGGCTGGGTTCTGCAGGGTTCTCTTGGGGGTTCTCTTTCTTCGATGTATACAGTCGAATTTGAAAAGTAGGTTTTTCTTTGAATTTCTAGGTTCTTCCGGGGTATCTCTGTGGTTCTCAGTTCACTCAGTGACTGGGTTCTGCAGGGTTCTTTTGGGGTTTTTCCTTTTTCGATGTATAGAAGGGGGGAAACGCGGTCGAAATTAAAAAGTATGTTTTTCTTTGAATTTCTGGGTTCTCCCGGGGGTTCTCTGTGGTTCTCAGTGCACTCAGTGGCTGGGTTCTGCAGGGTTCTCTTGGGAGTTCTCTTTTTTATATATAGAAAGGGGGAAAGGCTGTCGAATTTGAAAATTAGGTTTTTCTTTGAATTTTTGGGTTCTCCCAGGAGATCTCTGTGGTTCTCAGTCAACTCAGTGACTTGGTTCTGCAGGGTTCTCTTGGGGGCTTCTTTTGTCGATGTATAGAAA